CCCCAAAACCCCAAAACCCCATACTTCATTCTCATTCATAGTAGGATATATAAAAATATTGCAAGTTAATTTATAATAATATTGAAATGATACGCTTGTTAAAAATTTAATCACTCTTCCTTCTAATACAACTTGGACTCTCCTAAGCTCATTTCTCATTGAAATCTCACTATCACAAAGTTTCCTTTAATAAGAAGCCAATCTCCACCTCAAAGTAGCATGAAACTTTGTTTACTCATGAAGGAATTGATTACACTCACGCCCCAGTTGCATTCTTACATGGAATTAATAGTAATGTATGTAAAAAAGCTTAGTCGCTTTGTTGATATTGATTTAACTATAGTGCTAAGAACTTGAGGGATATGTGGATACTGTAGTTGAATAAATGAATCATACCATTTATACTCAGTGTATAGAAATTGGCTAGGGTAAATTCTCAACAATTTTTATGGATTTGAATTCCCAAGTACAACTTGCTTGTTTCGGGCTAAAGGAGGATCCTGTATTTTCCACATAGCCTTTCAATTTAATTGGATATTCATAAGGTGGATTGATAGCAAGAGCAACAGTTGAAACTTGTGATGGACTGAAAGTTAGAAATTTGATTACTTTTGGTGGACCTCATGGTGGAGTTTCTGAAGCTGTAAAATGCGCAGATACTGACATTCCTTGCAAAATTTGGGATTTGATTTCAAAACCCTTTGTTTACTTTGACTTGATTTAAGAGTTAGTAGCTCCTGCTGAATACTTTAGAGTTTTTAATGAAATATCAGAATACATAAAAAAATCTGTATTCCTACCAAGGATTAATAACGAACTAAAATAGAAAAATTAAGCCTATAAAGATAGGTTGACTGCTCTTGAACATTTCAGAATGTTTATGTGGACAGATGACATGGTAGTGTACCCTAAATAAAGTGCCTGGTTTGGAGTCTTAAATGAAACTGGAGGAATTGTAAATTTGTAGGATCAATAGTAGTATTAGGAAGACTGGCTTGGATTGAAAACTCTTGGAGAATCAAATAGGACCTCTTTCATCGAAATTCCAGGCAACCACATGCACTAGACAGATGACATTATCCAAAAATATGTAGTTCCTTTGCTTATTTAATGAAATATAATGACTAATAAGATATAGATTTAACTTAATTTCATAAATCAATCTTTTATAATTTCTTAAGAATATTGATTCACTGTTACTTCTTCTTCTTTGGCTTGGGCTCAGGTTCTTCCTAGACTGGCTCCTACGCAGCTTTGGATTTTTTCTTGGGAGCTTCTTCAACTGGTGCAGGCTCTGCCTTTTTCTTCTTTTTATCTGCTGCTGGTGCTTCATCTTCTTCATCTGCTCCTCTTTTCTTCGACTTGGCTCTTTCTTTCTTAGTCTCCACTGGAGGCTCTTCTTCAACCACTGCCTTAGTAGTTTTCTTCTTTTTACCTAATAGTATTATATTAGTATTATAAGTCCTTACCCTTTACTTCTTCTGGTTCCTCTTCTTCTTAAACTGGCTTCTTTTTCTTTTTAGCTGGTGGCTCCTCCTCTTCTTCAACTGCAGCTTTTTTCTTTTTCCTTGCGGGAGGTTCTTCCTCCTCCTTCAATTCTGATGCCCTCTTTTTTTTCTTAGCAGGAGGTTCATCATCTTCTTCCTAAGCAGCAGGCTTCTTTTTTTTACTAACAACAGGTTTTTCATCTTCCTCTTCAACTGCTCCCTTCTTCTTTTTCTTGGCTTTTACCTCTTCAACTGAATCTTCATCAGCTCTATTAGTCTTTTTCTTTTTGGGGTCAACTTTAATTTCTTCCTCAATATGCTTTCCTTTCGCACCCTTTTTATCAGGAGAAGCATCTCTTTTAACTTCTTCTTTCTCTTTTAAGGCTGGGACTTTTCCATCCTATACCACTACGACTTTTTCTACTTTCTTGCTTTCTTCTCTCTTTTTCATTCTTTCTTCGAGATCCTTCTTCTTTTAAGTCTTTCTGTAGAATTAATTAAATATTGATTTTGAAAGGAATTAATGTAGGTTACATTTTTTTCTCGTAACGAAGGATTTATAAAGCAGCGAATTCATAAAGATCACCAGTTGGTAGTCCATATTTGCACAGAGAAGTTAGCAAATCTATGCAATACATTAAAACCTTTTACTTTTATCTTACATTAATAAGCATCTAATATCTAACTGGTTTTCAATAGTTTAAGCCCTATTATGAAAATATTATTGACTATTTGATTGTGAATGATAGTTACCCTTCTTTTTTATTCTTTCCTTTTCTGTCTTCTCGATCTCTTGTAAAAGCTGCTGTTCTCTCTCCTTTTCAAGTTACTCTTTTAGAAGCTTATCCTGCTTTTCTTTGATTTTAAGCTCTTTGTTTGGAATAAATGACATTTGTAAATTATTAAATTATATTTAAATTTCATAACTTGTTCATTTTAATTGTTTATGGGGTTTTGGGGTTTTGGGGTTTTGGGGAGATCGGAAGAGCACACGTCTG